TGTGTGTGTGTGTGTGTGTGTGTGTGTGTGTCTGCAGAACCATTCTGAGGTTGGCAAAGAATTTGGGACACTGTAGAGTGGGGATCATAATCCCAGCTACAATTTTCCAGGATTTTCACTCCTCCCTGGGGCAGTGACAACAGCCTTAAGGCATTTTTTCATGTCGAGACACCAAGATCATTTGGGGTCCTGCTTGTCTTCTAAATCCAAGTGCCACCCTGGGTATGGGGTGGGAGGGGGGACTCAGTGGGAAGCTCCAGCCTTCAGGTGGCTTAGCCAGTGGGCTTGGGTGTCTAGGAAAGGTGGACCTAGGAATGGCTTAGCTGCCCTACTCAGATGTGTGGAGACCAGGAGGCCTGGTTGCTGCATCAGGGTGTCAGGGAGGGCAGCCTCCCTAGCTCTGTGGAAGTGCCAATGTGCTCAATGATTCACCTCCCCTTACACGGATTGTCGGCCCCTGGTTGACACTCCTGGCCGCTGCCACCTCAGAACTGCTAGATGGCTAGGACAGAAGGAGTCTCCCACTTCGGCTGTGATTATGAAGAAGAGAGAGGCCGGAGTTGGCTGCATGAGGAGTTGGAAGGAAGGGGTGCAAGAGATGGGAATGTGCTCTAAGGTAAACCCACCGGCAGCAGCAGGAGACCTGAGGGCTAGTTCTGAGAGACGACAGCGGCAGCGGAGAGAGAAGCTGGGCCAGTTGCAAGTGCCTGTGTGTGCCCGCAGGGGACAGTAAATGTGATCACGGATGCCAGGAAAGCCCAGCCTGCGTTTGCCCTGCGGGAATGCAAAGCGCGCGAAACCTATTTCTCAAGCTGTGACCACACGCTGTTTGTGCGGCTGGAGCTTCTCTCACCCGTGGCCGCCTTGGCTTCTCCCCGCTGGGAGTCCCAGCCACGGCACCTGGATTCGGCAGAGGAACTGTCTGCTGGGTGCCAAGCAGAAATGGCCTGGACAGAGGTGTGTGGCCAGGGCGCGGTAGAGCGCTGGTTCCAGGCTTGGACACTGCCTGACATTTTCTCCGAAGGGTCCAGTTCCTGCTGTCAAGATCTCTGGGGCGAGGAAGGGGCGGCAGAAGGTGTCCCGAACGCAGAAATCCAGGCTGGTGAGAGGCCGTGGGTCCCCTGGAGAGAAAAATCCCAGGAGCCACCACTAGCCAGCCCAGGGCCTAGGCTGCAAGCTCCGAGGTGTGGGGCCTGTGTGTACCAGGGAGAGAGGAGGAGGTGGGCTGGGGGAGGAGGACAACATATTTTTTAACTGCTTGAGAAAAGGGGGAGGGGGCGATCTAGGAGAGGAAGCCCATCCCACGTTTCCGGGGCGGACAGTCGTAAGTGCACAGCTTTAGGCCCCCGGCCGGGGCGCAAGCAGCTGCGCCCAGGTCTGATCGACCCCTTCGGCGTGGCCTGTCTAGCTAACCGGGGTGCAGCGTCCTGGGTACCTGACTCACAGATGGACAGAAGTTACAGACTCCTGTCCCAGTTCTCTCCTGTCGCCAGGCTCACCCCCTATCACTCCCCAAAACACGCCACCGCCCCTCCCCCCCTCACACATTCCCTGCAAATTCTCCCGGCATTAGGGCCGCTTTTGATGATCAGATGGTAGAGCCCTGATTACAAATTTATTCCCGGCCCGCTCTGTCCGTCTTTATCTCCGCTATTAGGGACATCTGGGAGTGATTAGTGGCGCGCCCGCGCGGGCCGTGCTGGCCTATCTCGCCGCGGCTGGGCCGGGGCCTCGCTGACGTCAGGGCAGACGGCTCGGAGCCACCCCGGCCGCGCTGGGTGTAATCCGGCTGCTGCGCCGCCAAGTCCTCTCCGGGCCAGGCCGGCAGCCGGGACACGCCGCCCGCCTGCGCGTGGGGACTTTATAAATCTGCATTTTTAGCTCAGAAGACTGTTTTGTGTTCCTTGTTTGCGGCGAGGAGGAGGTGGTTAACGTTTCCACTGCCCCCTCCCCACTCTACATTTCAACTTATTCCTGGAAAAGCCTCCCACGTCCCAGCCTGATTAGCGGCAGCTCTTTTGCTATCCCCGCATGCCCGGGACGCCACTCTCCTATCCAACAGCTGCGACCCCAGCCGGTGGTGACAGTGGAAGTCTAGGACCTAGGTTGGAGAGGAGCTGTGGGACTCGCTCTCAAGGCAGCTGTTAACGCCACCCGATAGACCCCTCAGGTCAAAATCAAGTTCCTGCGTGGCGGGGCGACCCACAGTGTCTCTCTGGCTACCTCCCTTTGCACCTGCTATTAAAGCCGTGCGCTGGACCCTCTTCAGCCCCGCTTCCTCCACACCCCCACCCCAGGAAGTTGTCCTTGGCACATGTTAGGGGCAGGATCGCTGGTGATGGCTTTGTTCCCCACTACGTCCCCGAGTTTAGAACAGAAGCTACATGTATTTGTGTAATTCATGGAGGGGCAGATGGACTCCCCAGACCTCTGACCCTGGCGCCCTGCAGGCTGGCCAACTCTCTCTTGACATAAGGAGTGCTGGTATGAGTCCAACATCTGAATTTCCCACTTCCCAAGAACTAAATAAAATTAAAAA